TGAGACAGGCCAAGATACTTCTGGGTGAATATAACCAAAAAAGATCGGAAGCCTGCATCTGCCTGAGCAAGAACAGGCTACGTATTGTAACAGGGATCCTTACCGGGCACTGCCGACTAAAAGGACACCTAAGTAAACTGAGAGTAGTAGAGGATAGTGAGTGCAGATTCTGTGAGGAGGAGGACGAAACCTCCATTCACATCCTAACTGAATGTGTAGCACTCCAGAATCCAAGGGCACTATATCTAGGAGGATATCAAATAGAAGAGGGAGACTTACCTAACTTGAAGCCACTTCAAATCCTACACTTCCTTGAGAAAATAGGATTGGAAGGGTCGCTATAGGCATTGAGACTATTCCTTAGTGCAGTGGCGATAGAAGGGGGCACAATAGATCTTTTACGTCGCAGTGTATTAACACCCCATTATCAACATAACATAACATATTTATATTATTATTTTCTATAATTTTTGTTCTATACGAAATTTTCCTAAAATGGTATTCGAAAAATTTTACAAAATGTCAAAAATTCTGATTTTTAAGAAAATTGTTAAACTTAAAGATGTTTGCGATATTGATCTCTATAATTTTTACATGATTTCTCTAAAATGGACCGTAATGGAAAAATTGGAGGAAAAGTATAAAATTAAAATTTTTCAGTATTTTCGTTGGCTATGAGCGTATATAGAAAAATGTTCCGAGTTAGGTGTATGTGGAAAATGTATATATTAAGTTAACCTCTAAATATTTACAGAGGTGCTACAATAAGTTGTACAAAATAACCGAAAAAAGCCTATAATAACTAGATAGGAAAGTCATGTGTTGGACACCTCAGATTTTTTATAAAAATGTTCCGGGGCCCACCATGGCTCTCGGCGGCCCTACTTAAGCTTTAAATCGTAAATGGACTCCTTGCATTTTTTTTATTTCATTAAAGGGTTGTGTTTATGTGTTTACTTATTAAAACGCGCTATATAAATTATGAGCACAGCGTTGATGTTGCCTAATGTTTTTAATAATAGGTTTATTTTTTTTTGTAAAATAAATTTTGTGCAAGGGGCCCATTATGTTTTGTTCTAATTATACTCTTCACACAGTAGTATGTGAAGAGTACCTATTATTCGTTTAGTTCCGTCAGTCCGATGCCACGTTTTTCGTCTGCACAATAAGTCAAAAACGAAAAGCGATATCAACATGAAATTTTTAGTAAAAATATAAATTTTTAGTAAAAATCATGCTTTATAAGAAGACTATATTGATTGCGAAAAAAAAAATCCTAATAAAAATGTAGGGTTGAGGGGGGAGAGGGGGTTGAGATGTGGGTTGTAATATTTAAAAAAATCCCCTTAAATGGGCTACCGACGTTGTACTGCTTCATATGGGGGCCTTCCATTTTCGTTGTGGTCCGTTACCCATAGCACAGGTGGTACATTTCTTACACCAGTCCTTTACATCTTCCAATAAAACCTTTCACGAACTGTCTGAAGGGTTTTCTTAACACCGAGATGTCCTCCTGATGGACTGTCGTGTAAATAACGAAGTACTTCGGCTACTCTAGTCTTTGGAATGACTGTCGTCTGTTTTCGAAACCATCATCATTCTCTAGTACTCGCTTTAATAAGCCTTCTTCTAGAATAAAAGAGTTTCACTAAGCCCAATATGACAACTACTGGAGAGAGTTTTGATACTTCTTGCCAAGTAGGTCGACGATTTTCCTCTTTCCATTGTCGCATCCTCTTTAAAACGGCATCTTTCTCTTGTTCTTCCCTAAGTTTAACATGGGCCCACTCATCACTGACAACCGTCATTCGTCGTACTGTAACTTCTTTAGCAGATGTGACCAACCCCTTTCTAAACAGAGTTCATTGACCAACACCTTCATTGCACTTCGAAGATTCCACCATAATAGGCGTTCCTTTCTCTACAGTTTCTTGCAATCGCGTTACTCTTATAGTTTCACATCTATCAGGTACCACCGGTCCTTTCTGTACAGCCACTGACACAGTTTTTCGATTCGTAGTGTTATTTGGGAGTTTGCGCGAACTGCTTATATTTCCCATTTCACCTCCATTCCATCACCTAATAGTCTTCGGTAGCTTCTCAATAAGGCTTTTTATCATGTGAAACAATTGGTCGAATTTATATCCCTTCTTCCTCTTTTACAGTTCTTACTTTACTGTATCCACCAGAAGCCAGCGTAGCCGCTTCATATTTAAGAGCAGCGGACAGGACATCGACCAAATGCGTGAACAGCCAAATATTCAATCATGTATTCCGGCGCTGATGGGTAGGCAAATCGCACCATCTTCACAAAATGTAATTGGAATTCTTGAAAGCTTTCGTCACGTTTCTGTTTGTGATTCTTCAACTGTAATCGGTATACCTGCTCCAAGTGTGCGTGGCCATATTGTATGTTTAATCTCTTTTTGAGTTGTTCAAATTCATCTTTCTCTTCCACAGGTATAGTCTGAAGGTCATCTAAAGCGTCTCCTCAAAGGATAATGGTCAGATTTACTGCCTTTTCTCAAACTGTTTAAGGTAGTTGGGGCTTTAACGCGAGCAGAGTTTACAACTCCTTCCAATTTCAACTTTGACTCCACCTAATGGCACTTTATTTCGCCGTCCTTATTACTCCTCAACGGAAGACATTATTTTATTCTAAAAAGAAGAAATTTCGTTTTTCATAGAAGACATTTCGGAAGACACCATTTCTTCTAAGGAAGAAATATTAGTGAATCTAGTCAACCTTTGAAATATACCTTATATGTATAAATACACTTTTTAACTACTTTTGTACAATAGTTCACCGTATTAGCTTCTAATGAACCTTTGCAATATAGGTTCCTTATTATACTCTTTCGTACAATCGTTCAGTGTTTTAGATTCTAGTGAACCTTTGAGGTATTCCTTGTATACCCTGTAATACCTACTTTTTTCTAATTGTTCAGTGTTTTATAGGTAGCTTATGGCACCGCACATGTGTAATTGCGTTACTTTGTTGGGGGGAACATTTTAAAAATTATTTTTTGGTGTCCAAAAATATGTACCTATTTTGGTTTAAAGTTGACGTAATCAAAAATTTATTTAAAAAAATTATTTCATGCATCATATGACGTCACAAGGCCAAAAAGATTTTTGCGCAACATGCAAATTTATATATTTTTGACCAATTTTTTTTTCAATCGTCTCTGCCCAAATAGCACACGACGTCTGAAAGACGTCTTTTTTGTGTCTTGGTTTGGTCTCAATGTCCTAGGACGTTATTAAGACGTCTTATAAGACGTCTGCCAAAAGCCATAATTCAGACGTATTAATGTGAGAGCTCAAAGACGTTTTTAAGACGTCTTAAAGACGTCTTTCCAAATCCATATATTAATGTGAAAGCTCAAAGACGTCTTTAAAACGTCTTACAAACGTCTTTCAGTCGGACGGAAACTTGCACGGTTTACATAATTCAAATTTAAAAGTAGAATCAAATAAAGTGAAGTTTGACGTTTGACTTAACACTACATTCAAGCCCAAGCTTATTGTGAATTATTGATTATTCTAGTGCGGCCGCCAAAAGTGTGTTTGGGCTTTTTTGTGCATTTGTGTTTGGTCTCTTTTTACTTAAATAATATGGGACTAAAACCAGAGAAGGAAGAATAGTGGAGTTTCTGTTACCGATGTATCACGTTCCTGGAATACTTTCTACAGGTAATAAATGAATATTTGTTTAGGTATATACATAAAACTTTAATATCATGTTTCTTATAAATAAGAATAATTAAATGAATTAAAAAGTAAACATCTTAATATAAGATTTAATTCAGTTATTCGTCAATTTCCTTTCTTTTATTTTTATGGAGATTTCGAGAATTATTGATATCAAAAGCCCCATGTTAGATAGCCATTTTGAGTAAAGTTAAAGTAAAATTGTCAAAATAGGCAATTAAGTATAATAGCTCATCTCGTAATGATTTGTTATAAAAATTAATTGATTTAAAATAGTAAGAAATTAATTTTTTGTTCGTTTCATAATTGTTTTGTCGGTTTTTACTAACTTTTACAAAGTATAAATTGCTGTGACTATAATGCTCTTACCTAAATTTCTTTTTAGGAGCGACTATACAAAGGCAACTTCAATTATGGCTAAAGAGGATTGATCGAATGCGCTACAAAGAAAATAACTCTTAGTGACCTGTGATTAATAGATATTTTATCAATAAATATTTTTAATTCTATTTTTTGCATTCTTTATAACATGCAAGGTTATTCTACTAATTTTAATAACCAAGATGCATGATGATACCCATTTTTAAATTATTTTATATTATTATAACCAGGTTATAGAATTAGCAGAATAATAATGAATGTGTTATTTATGGCTTATTTAAGTTTAACCAGACCTTTATAAGCCATTAATAAGTCGTCTTAAAGACGTCTTATTTATGGCTTATTTAAATCTTCACAAGACCATTATAAGCCATTTATGAGACGTCTTAAAGACGTCCTATTTATGGCTTATTTAAAGCTTCACAAGACCATTATAAGCCATGAATAAGACGCCTTAAAGACGTCTTATTTAAGGCTTCATAAGACCATTATAAGCCATTAATAAAACGTCTTAAAGACGTCTTATTTATGGCTTCATTAGACCATTATAAGCCATTAATCAGCCGTCTTAAAGACGTCTTATTAACATCTTATTTAAGGCTTCACAAGACCATTACAAGCTATTAATAAGTCGTCTTAAAGACGTCTAATTTATGGCTTATTTTAAGCTCTACAGACCAATATAAGCCATTAATAAGACGTCTTAAAGACGTCGCTTTTTGTAACATCAGACGTCTTCTAAGACGTCTTTCAGGAAATACCAGACGTCTTAAAGACGTCTCGAATGTCTTATGCTAGACGTCTTTAAGACGACTTTGTGCTATCTGGGTGTAGCTGTTAACCGATCTGCTGAACACCCAGGGATCTTATAACGATTATATTTTTTTAATGTCGCATATTCTTAGTATCATCCCTTGCAGCAACCTTCAACTTCAAGAGGATCTTCTGCTAGTTACGGTCGTAAGTTTCCTTCATTAGGTTCAACATGCGATCGCAGTGGTGTATCAGATTGCTCAGCTGAATCCATTGTCAGCGCTCTGTTGGAAAACGTTGGGTTGGAAGGCAAAGATAACATCTCAAATGTAGTGGATTGAATGACTAAGATGAGCAAGAAAAAATGTTAATTGGAATTAATTACATATAAACTAAATTCGTTTCTTACCAACAAAACCAAATAAATGAACTAAAGTTTTAAAGAAATTTGAACAAACTTTAATTATGTGTACAAATAACACCATTTTTAATATTGAATGTCAATAATATTGAACTATAATTGAGAATGAAATCTGTATTTATTAGATTAGAGTACCTAGAGAGTTTTCTAAGCTGAGAAAATAGTATATACACGGCTTATACAAAGCTGTGGTATATAGTAACGAAAGTACATCTATTAGAGATTAGATGGCGTTGCAAGGGTAGGGAACTCTATTTCTAATCCATCTTATTCGAAATAAATGTACTTTTACACAGATTATAAGTGTCAATGGCAATTAGGGTTGCCACCTGTAACCTTTTTTTGTAGCACAATGTCCTTGTAACTTTTTAAAGCTTAAAATGTCCTTTTTTACGGCAAATGTTTTTTTTAGCAAATCGTCGTTGCCGCGGTGAAACCTCCTATGTGATATCACATTTTTAGATTTTTGTACCAGTTCATAGAAACTAACATTCTGAACAGTTTAGCAAAACTTCCCATGTAATTTTATTTTAAAATATTGTGATTTTAGACCTCCCTTGGGCGTAATACTTATAAGGCATCAGAACAAAATTGTTACGTTTTTATATCTACTGAAAATTTTGATGAAATGTACATAGGAGGTTTGACCGCGACAACGACGAAATGTCTTTTTTTACAGCACATATTTTTGGAAGGGACATGGTTTGTACAAAAATATATAAGCTGAGGACTTTTTTTTCTTAGAATGACGAGAAGGATTTTTTTAAGTTCAGTAGAAGGATGAGGACTTTTTGTATACCGGAGCCCATGTCAGCATTGTAGTCCTTTTTTTACTTTTCAAAAAGATGGCAACTCTAAATGGCAATCATATTATTATTTTGGTTTAGTATTTAATATAGCATAATTTGGCATCAAGGAGGTTGCTCTGACGACAATAACACGCCTGCGCACGGTTGGAATAGAACCTGATGTAGGATCTGGTGAGGCGAGACGTCGCTTTTGGCAGGAGGCGCTCGATACGCTCCCACTGCTTCAAGCGAACATGGACTCCATCTCACCGAGACATATCTTCCATAAGCCACATAAAGTTATAACAGAACAAATAAAAGAGCCAGAAGTGGCAGGTACAATTCATATCTACACCGACGGTTCTAAGACAAAACAAGGCTCATGATGTGGAATATACTCCAGATTTTTAAACCTAAATATAAAATGGGCTGTGAGCAGTAGTGCCAGTGTAGTTCAAACAGAGCTAACGGGAATTCTCATAGCAGCAAAAGAAATAACCAGAAACAATATCACTGGAAGGAACATGCTCATCTATACAGATAGCAGACAAGCACTACTCGTCCTGAACAGACCACGCATTTACTCAGGTTTAGTACTGGAATGTCACGAAGCTATCAACAATGTGGTCACCTCGAAAGGTAACCGTCTTGCTGATTCACTAGCTAAGAAAGCAGTCAAGTCAACAATAAAGCTCGATACATTACAAATTAAAATAAAAACAGTTCACATATTAGAGATAAATCGATCGGGTTGTTTAACTACTCTACCACGTTTTGTGACGTACACATTATCGGGTACTCTGTTTTCGATATCCTTGCTAACACCAGCCACTCCCGTACTATCGCTTGTAGAGTCTTCCCATGAGATCTGACTTTGTTTTCTGAGCTCATCCACCACCTGATGTTTTCGCCTACATGGCTTGTCAGATTCCCGGAAGCTAGTTAATCCAACATCAAAATCTGATTTTTCAGCATATTCGAGAGGATTTTGCAGTGGTCGAAGTAGTTGGCCTCTTGAAATGCTTATCCGTGCTAAGCGAACTTCGTTATCTCTGCCTTCGATAAATTCTATAATTCGACCAAATGACCAATTCAATCGTTTATCGTGGTCATTGCCTACTAGAACAACGTCGCCAACTTGTAATTTTGTATCTCATTTTTCTTCTTCTGAAAGACTTGAAGTTGAGCTAAATATTCGCTTCTGAATCTCTTACGAAGATCTTCCCTTAATTTCTGTTTATGTTTTAATTTGCGGCATGCTCATGACTGGTCAATTAGATCGTAAGGTGGCACACCAACTTCAGCTTGGTCGCGTAAAAACATAGCAGGGGTGAGGGGGCTAAAGTAGAGTCGGCAGATACATGTGTGATGGGTATAGCATTAATTATAGCTTCACAGTCACATATAACAGTCAACAAATCTTCGTAATTGGGAGATGCTTTTCCTAAAACTTTACGGAATAAACCTTTTAAAACTCCGATTAGATGTTCCCAAAATCCACCCCACCATGCCGGTGTGCGTGAGTTTAGCCGCCATTTTATACGTTGTACTGAAGAAAGCTTGTAATGTCTTCCCAATTAAGTTTACTGAATGCGTTTTCGGTACCGGCGAAATTTGTGCCGTTGTCACTGTAAATTATTTTTGGGCGTCCACGTCTAGCGACAAACCTACGAAGGCACTGTATAAAACTCGCCGTAGATAATGATACAACGACTTCTAAATGTATCGCACGATACACGACACACGTGAATAAAGAAACCCTTACCTTTTCGCCTGATTTTAAATATAAAGGTCCCGCAAATTCGACCCCGGTAACTTCGAACGTAACTGCGTCTCTGACCCGATCAAATGGCAACGGAGGCGTTACCACTTGAAGCGGTTTAGACTTGTATCTCCTACAAATTCCACATTTGGTAATCACCGACCTAATAGAACGTCTATCGCCAAGAATCCAAAACCACTCACGAAGAATACAAGAATACCTAACAGTCCTTCTGTACCTACGTGGCAAGAATTCTTATGATAGTGTAATTAACTGACTAACTATTGGATGTTTACCGGGTAAATCTATTGGAAAATGAAAGTCTAACGTATCATTCCGAGAACTGATTCGAGTTTTAACCCGGATTAAACCTGAATCGTCAATGATCGTATGTAAATCGGACCAACGTTTGTCAGTTAATGTGTCAAACGATTCAGTCTGTACGATTTTTAGTATCCATAGTTCAGCTTTATCAACTTCTTCAGCAGTCAGTGGACCTTGCAGTTTTCCTATATTAAAAATAAATCTTATAGCACAAGCAATCATTCTCGTGGTTTTACTATATTGCCAAAAATATGTTATATACCAGTAGTCTGAGTTGCAGAAAGCTAATGAATAATGAACCTTTCTCTTTTTCTCCAGAGCAACGACAGACTCGTCGCATTCAATATCTTCTGTAGGCCATGAATTAGGTTCTCCACACAGCCACTCGGGCCCCTCGCACCATCGGTGAATGGGGATGGTGCTGTTGGCTACATCCTCATCACGAGTGCCAGTTCTTAGACTGCCCACAGCTCGTATCTTTTGGTTTAACACTAGCTGCGTCAATAAAAAAAACTGCAAATTTTTGTATTCGTATAATATTACCATGAAGAGGAACAGGAACACAACAATTCTTTTACAACTATATTTTCTAATACACGGTTTTGAATGTAAAAAATTGAGATTATAAGAATAACTGACTTTTTCCGTTGACTTCTGCCCAAAAAACAACTTGTCTAGCGACCGTATTCCTACGTCCCAAAATGATTGTGACGCGCGAATGTTGCGAAACGGGATACCCGGGTTGCTCATTAGAAATGTTTCGTCATATATTTATTCTCAAAATTCCTACAATTGGGATTCTAATAAAGACCGACCATCACAACTCCGAGATGGCAAATCTGCCGGGTTAAGGGATCCAAGTATCACTATCTGTTAAACCTTTTATTTCTGTAACACGATTCCAAACAAAAATTCCCCACTCTTCTGTGCGCCTAATCCAAGCTAATACCGTGGAAGAATCACTCCAAAAATAAGATTGTATCGATTGTTTAAACGATTTGTTGATTGATGTATGCAATCTGGCCCCAATAGTTGCTGCCAAGAGCTCTAAACGTGGAACAGACAGCTTATGAATGGGCGTTACGCGAGATTTAGCTACTAACAAAAACACTCTGCATTTTCCATCGCTAACAACTCTTAGAAAAATGCAAGTGGAATAAGCTTTTTGACTTGCATCGCAAAAGGCATGAAGACTCCAATGAGTCATTTCGAATATTCCACCGAAGATCCACCTAGGAATTTTAATTTTGTATAAGTTATCTAGTTCATTAATTCATGACATAAACCTAGCTACCATTTCATCACCTACTTGTGAATCCCAACTAAGTTTTTGTTCCCACGTTTCCTGCAACAATAGTTTGGGTAAAAGTGAAACAGGTAATCAAATATTTTTTGTGCAATTGACAGAATATGCCCCTTAGTAATATGTTCACTCCGAATATCAGCTACTCCTTTCAAACACTCCTCATTAATGGATGTGTCATCTTTTGTATTCCAAACTAGACCAAGTACCAGAGTTGTATCAGAAGTAGAACCAACGATATGTTCAGACTGTGAATACTCCCAGCCTCTGAGATCAAATTTACCTTCGATCATTACAGAAGTGGCCACATCGGTGAATTTTTTTAAGTCAGCATAATTTGAAACACTAGTGACACAATTGTCTACATAATAGCTGTTTCCTTATTGCTGAATTATTTCATCTAAATGGTTTGGATCCGGAGTTAATAATTTAATTTTCTCAGCGAGGTGGTATTTTATTGTAGCTCCTAGCAAGTATGGACTACAGTAACCCCAAATACCACTCTTCGACGGCGGTAAATCTTTGTGTTGCATTCATCATTGATCCAAAAAAATCTAAGATAATCTCTGTCTCAAGCAAACCAATTTGAAGAAATGCCTTGCGAATATCTTACACTACTCCTAATTTTTGCTGCCTAAAGCATATTAGGATAGAAGGAATTATTTCTAGAAGATTAGGTCCCTTTTCAAGGTAGTGATTCAACGAAGGTTTACCTTTTTCGTGAGACGAGGCAACAAACACCG